CAATGTAAAATTAAAATGAAGTACACAAGCCCAGGTAGGATCGCATCTAAAAAAGCAAATACTTAGGAATAAACTCAAGTAAGGAGGTGAAAGACCTGCACAACGAAAACTACAAAATGTTGCTCAAAGAAACGAAAGAAGACACCAATACATGGAAGGACACCCTAGATTGGAAGAATTAAGACATCAATATTTCACAAAGTGATCTGTAGATTTATTTAATGTAATCTCTAGGAAAATCCCAGTGGTCTTTTTCAGACGTAGAAAAATCTATCCTAAAATGTATATGGAATTTCGAGGGACTCTGAATAGCCAAAACAATCTTGAAAAGAACCCCCTGATTTAAAAACTGAAGAAGTGGGAGCAGCAGGTGGCATAGTGGTTAAGGTATTGGACTCCCACATGATCCACCACCGTTGGCTGCGAGAGACAGAGAGAGATGGACTCGACGCCTCAAACCTCCAGCCTCCCGTAGTTTTTGCCATAGGGTGGACACCAGCACGCCCCGACCACAGTTAGAGTCCCAGACCTGGCAGCTTGAAACTCTCTCCCGCAAGTGCATGCACCCTGTAGGAAAAACAAATCCCAGACTTAAAAAGCTACAGCAATTAAAATGGTGGTACTGGCATAAAGACAGACTTATAGGCCAATGAAATCCACTGGTGTTACCAACAACTGCTCTTTCCTTTTCTCTTTCTTTCTTTCTTTCTTTGTTTTTTTCTGAGAAATTTTTGCTATAGGGCACATGTGCTTGTCAAAGAGACAGAGAGAGACAGAGAGACAGAGAGCAAGAAATCACCCCCTAGAGGGGATAGCCACGCTGCAATCCCTTCTCCTCCATTCTCCTCTCAGGATTTTGGGCACACATGAACACACAAACCCAGCGTGAGTTTCAAGCCATGGGAGCCAAGACTCGAACCACAGTCGACCACGTGGGAGTCCAGCGCCTTAACTGCTACCCTACCCACTGCCCCCACCAAAACCTTCCAAAAGTACTACGACATGCCGTGTGTTTGTGTGTGAGTCCAGGCACCACCTTGGTTATGGATTGAAAGTGAGAAGACTGCTACTCTGCTGAATTGGCGTGGAAATGCAAGAGACAGAACGTGAAGAGCTATTCTTGTTAAAAAGCTCACATGTGTACCATGGACTTACTTGCCAACATTTAGCATAATTAAAATACAGATTTTTTTATTCAATCATCAGCTTCGTGGGAAGAAAAATCACATCATAATCCCTTCCCAGAACAAAATGGTGGAATCTCCCAAGATCATGTTTGCTTAGATGCCTCTTAGGATACGCTTGCATCGGTACCAGGTCCCTATCAGACAGAAAAGCCGTTAACCCACTGTAAACTAAGGAGCTGACTTCCAGGAATAATAAAAAGTATGCAGGCTTACGGCTCAGATCTATCCGAATAGGTGTGTCCATGAACTCTGAAGGCTTACAGCATGTTTGGGGTCACACCGATAAGACTAGAATGGCTCTGGCCGTCCCGCATTGGTGTCGAATGCTACATTGCAAAAGTAAAATCTAATACTATTTTTAATCCAGTTTCTTTTTTTTATGTACACTTTTTAACAATCATTTTTTATTTAATTTAATTAGTTTATTTGTATATTTTTTATTTATTTTAATTTGACCAGAGACGCAAGGAGAGAAAGAGAGAGAGAAAGTGAGGAAACAAGCCACCAGGTCCAGGACTCAAACTGTGGTCAGCCACGTGGGAGTCCAACACCCTTAACCACTTGGCCACTGGCCGGCCCTCAAGTTTGTTTATTTAAAGAATTACTTTTTAAAGTTTTATTTACTATGATTATTATTTTTAAATTTACTATAAGGCATGTGCGCTCACCTGAGAGAGACGAACAGAGAGGGAGAGGGAAAGCGAGAAAGCTAACTCCTAGGCCTGGGACTTGCATTAAGGTCAGCCACGTGGGCGTCCAGCGCTTTAACTACCACGCCAATGCTAGCCCCAAAGTCAAGTTTCTAATGTATCGGATTGTGTTAGAATTAGGGGCCCACAGGTGGAGTGGCGGTTAAGGTTTTAGACTCCCACATGGTTGACCACGGTTCCAGTCCTGGACCTGGTGGCTTGCGTTTTCACTTTCCCTCTCTCTCACTAGTCCAATGAAAGAATAATAATGATAATATTAATTAATTAATCAAGTTAAAAATTCAACAGAGAGCTGAGCTTACTTTAGAAAAGATATCTGATAACATTGAAGAAAAGGGACGCATTCTGACTGATAATGAGATTTTCTCACACAGGTCAGCTAGCAGTAGAAGGCTTATGAACTGCAAAGGCCCGATGTTCTGCAAGACTCAGCACCTATGCCTCTCACGAGCCGGGGAGCAAAACATAACAGACAGCTGGCCACCCAGAGCTGCAAGAGGGGTTACTCATGGTGCCTTCTCTCCTCCAGGCCCACTCTTGTCAAGGAATAGCTATCCAGCACGTCAGTAAGAGTGACTACCTCTGCCAGGCTCACTTCCTCCCAGCTAGATTCGCTTTTCCTGCTCCCGCAAGCACTTGTGCAGAATTGGTAGGTGACGTGACACCTGAAAACTAGTACAGAGACCAGCAGATGGCGTACTGGCTACATCGCGGGACTCCCACGTAGTCGACCGCAGTCCGAGCCCCAGACCTAGTGGCTTAAACTCACCTCGGGTGCGTGTGTGTGCGAGTCCAAGATCCCGAGAGGAGAACGGAGGAGAAGGGATTGCAGCACTTCTGATTTCTGGCTTTCTGTCTCTGTTTCTGTCTGTCTTTCAGGCGAATGCACACACCCTATAGCGAAAACCTGTCCAAAAATAAGAAAGAAAGGAAGAAAGGAAGGAAGGAAGGAAGGAAGGAAGGAAGGAAGGAAGGAAGGAAGGAAGGAAGGAAACACTGGTATGAAAAAGGGATGGGAATAATAAACCTTGGGCTGATGCCACTGCCGGGGGCTTCGGTGACCAGAACTTACGGACCACACCAAGTAAAGCTCTATGGCACGGAGGCCTCGTTTACGCAGTTGTCCAAACCCTGGCTGCATGGACACGTGCTGGACCCCACACAGCAGGTGTGCCCAGCGGTGCGGACTTAGTTCCTGGACAAGATTCCTACCTGTCCTTCTCTGATCTCTGGGGCCTTTGTGCATGCTACTCCCTCTGCCTGGGACACAGGCTTCCTCTCGCTGTCTGAGTATTTCTGCTCCTTCTAGCGATGTCAGCTTGAATAGTACGACCCCTGGGCTCCCCCTTGACCTCCCAGACTAGGCCAGGCGCCAATTGTCTGAGTTCCCTATGCTCCCCGGGTCTTCCTCACCAAAAGCAGTGGCCAGACTCAACTGTGAGCCCTGTGCACCTGTCCATAGCTCCTTGGAGCCTCTGTGCTCTGCAAGGCCACCTGCCTGGTGTACCTCGCTCCCACCTGGGCACCACCGCGGAGGAAGTCGTTCAGAAGACATCTGCTGGATGGCTGGCCAGATTGCGGCCCGCTCGAGGACTCTGTTGGCCTCTCTGCTGTGGGGCTGTCCCGTGTTTGTGGGCACAGAAGGGGGCCGACAGTGGCCTCGATGCCTGACAGAGCTTCCCAAGAGGCAGAAAGTCTTTGAATAGCCTGAAACGTCTCAAAACCGGTCTGGAAACAATGAGATGGGAAAGAAGGATGTATGTGGGGAAAGGGAGAAGAACCTTCCAAATACCTTTCCAGTACAGGGGGGTGATGACACCGTGACCTGAAATCAAGACCCAGAGACCAGAGATCAGAGACTCTGGAAGGATGAAGGAAGTATTTCTTGGAAGAATGAGCTCCCTGGAAGCTCGTGAAACCCCCAAGCCCCCTGCATGTGCGTGCATTGAGCACGAGGTCTGAGAGGGCGTGCAGAAGGAGGAGCCGAGAAATGTCTGTGGATACTGGGGTCAGTTCTGTCCCTGATCGCGGACAGCTTCTTCCTTCTAGCAAAGCCCTGGCTGGTCTTAGGTAGCACAGCAGTCTTCCCAAGGAGAGGGCCGGCTGACACTGGGGCGCGCTGCAGGCAGACACCCCGGAATGAGGCAGGACCTGCAGGCCAGAGCTTCCCAGAGCAGCCCCAGAAGCCAGCACTGTCTTCCTAGCGTGAAAGCCGGCCAGACTCAGGCAGGCGCGAGTGCCCGGGCTCTCTACCCTTGAGTTCCAGAGGAGCGATGGGCTTTCTCTACCGGGAGCCAGTGCAGCGAAACCACTTCCAGGCTTCGCTTTGGTCCTCGGCATAGAACCGAACGCCTTACTTTGGCACACGAAGTCTGTTTACCGGCCTGAGCACCTGCCCAGAGCGGCCACACGACTGTAGTGAAGGCACGAGTGGCCTCGGCCCAGCATGGACTGGGCTCTCAGAAGAACAAAAAAGCGAGACTCACTCCAGCCTGGTCCCTCAGACAGACTGGAGCTGTACCTGAATGTCCCTTCCTGACACAGGGCAGGGGGCGGGGCGGGGCCCGGTCCCTCCCTCCACCCCCAGCATCTGCTCTGTCCTTCCCGCCTCTTCTGAACCCGGCCCTCCTGAGCTGGGAGAGCAGAGCTGGGTCTGTCTCGCGTTTGTGGGCACGAAGGTAGCCAACAGTGGCCGTCTTGTCTGCTGCCCATGGAGCCCCAACTGACAAGCCGTGGTAGGCCTGAGCCCAGGGTAGGGCCCTGACAGGGGATGCCCAAGGTCGCAGGAAGTTACCTCCTCGGCCCTCACTGGCAGGCGGGGTCACCTGGATCGGACGACTCATCTGAAAGACATTGGACCAGCAAGCCCATTCAGCGGGGCTCCCGGTC